CAATTTCACCTTCCCTCGTACTACTCTGTCCCGAAGAATAACTAGGGGCTAGCAACTCCGGCAGTATGGACCTGCTTAGGAAACGTCTACTTGTCGATCTGCATCGGCCTCTTGGACTCCGGTAAGGCAAGCAGCATCCCCAACTCGATGAAGTTCTGCACGATTTGGTTAGTTTAGAAGTCAGCCTGAACTGACTTTTCAGTCTTTGCTCAGCCCGAGCATTCCTACCTTGCCTCGAGCGCTAGGGACAAAGGATGGGTGGAATGAGGCTTAAAACCCGGCATCAAAGCCTTTTCGGCAATCAATGTATAGACCAGTAATTGCGTAGTATAATAAGTCAACAGGCACAACATCACTGTCAAGAGCATTCTGTGCAATATACTATAGCATATCTCCTGGCATTGACTTATACTTTTAGGGCTCTAATAGCTTCCTTCTTTTGAGAGCTGGTAATATCCACCAACTATAGAGAGTTGGGCTAAGATCTCCGAATCCTTACTAAATAAGACCTTTTCCTGCTCTCATTTCAAGAACTCATTCAGTTGAATTCATATTCATAGGAGAGTTTAGCATCTTTATTTAGGAGTGGAAGTTGGAGCACTTAGAGATCTAGTTACTTTTGAGTCCCAATCTCTTCCATATCAGTGGTAGTATATGTCCCAGAATTAGGAATNTCGTTTTAGTAATGGTATACCCAGTAGCTCTATCCATAGCTTCGTAGGGGACGGGGATGCAAGTTTCCATACAGAGAAGAAGCAGTTGCAAGGAAAAGAAATGAGTTTTCCCCTGGAACGAAATTCGAATATCACCAGTCCTAGTTCGCAGCGATCTAGTTTGAGTGGTAAGGTCTTTCTCTAGAAAACGAAGGAGATATGAATTCCAGTCAGTAATCAGTAATAATCAGTTTGTTGTTAATGGCTTTTGTAAGGATAAGGGAGTCCGATAAAACAAGTGTTTACTAGCGGTTAGAGCGAGTTCCAGCGAGCCAGTACCAGTCCCCGGAGTCCATCTTTTCTCGCACCAACAGAGGAATGGATTCACTATCGACTGGATCTTTCTTATCATACGAGATTCGTCCTCGGCTTTGCTACTCGTTATTAAAACATTATAAAGTAGGTTTCGAGAAAGAAAGAATGGATCTCGATGAAAGCTTCTCCCTTACATAGGTAGGAAGGGAAATGGAATCGATTCATCATTGAGACCTTATATATGAGGTTTCTTGGACGAACCAAACCCTTCTCTCTGGCAGTACCGAACGAGGCAATACCGGACTCATGCCAATGACTTGCTGCTCTCGAATGCATGGCCCTACTCTCATTTCCGTATAATGTGTGTAGGCGCTCTGTAAGAACGTGCATCCACCGCCTGAACGAGGGCGAATGGCTAGGCTTTCTTCTCTCCTTGACACACAAGGAGCAATTGTGACTGATCCTGGATAGAGAGAACCTTCTTTCCCAGTTCAATCCAATCAGTCTTCTTCCTGACCTAGGCTCTTCAGTCGATTAGGAATGGAATCGATCATTCTTCTCTGACGAATATACTTGACGAACTGTCACCGCTTCGCGCCCGTTGTTCCCTTTGCCCGATCCGGGTGTCACTCTGTTTTCCAATAGATCTAAAAATAGCTAAAACAATCTACGAAACGAAGAAATGAGAATGCGATCCTTCATCCACCCAATCAACCAGAAGGGAACTCTTCGCCACCAGCGCTTACCGTCCATCGCGGAGCCGCAACTCAACGCCCGGGGCCATCCTTTCGGACAACACCCTTCGGCTAGGAACCTGGGGCCCGATGGTTACTAGGTTACCTTCTGGCTGAAAGATCGATCTCGGGATCTCATTGAGCATCTCTTCGACTCGCATGTGTTAAGCAAATCGCTTCAAACCACATGATTGCATCCAAAGTGGCCGAGCCTCGTGAACCGGACATAGTACAATGCGTACTAACATGGAACATTTCTTCTCTTACGCGATTTTCGAATTCACCACTTTCCCGTCTACATGAAACATGAATGAAAGCCTTGTGTTTCGGCTTGAGGATGTAGACAAACCACTATGAAGATCTAGAAAAAAGCTTTACTCGCACGAGATTCTTGAATCAGATTGGGGTTGACCCCTCTTTTTGGCTTCGATACTGACAGGGTAAGGGACATTGAACGAGATTCCCGCGAAGATGATTGAGAGGCGGTTCAGCATAGCTAGATACCCCCGGGATTATATTCTAGTTGGCGTAGGAGGGTTTTCTTTCTCAAAGTATGGTAGGACCCTCTTTCTCTTTACTGGCGGCTAGGAAGGGCGAATTTCTCATATCACTGCTAAAAGTGAGATGACTGTCAAAAAAGAGAGACATTTCGGGGAGATTACTCAACGCGGGCTTAGACTCGTAGACTAGTAGTACTCAACCAAGCAAAAACTTTCACTTGCGCGAGATTCTCGATTTGACCACATGGATGGATTGCTATCTTCCATACGAGATAGGAGGAGAGTTCGTTAACAAGGCATAGCCTGATCTCGCTCAATCCCGGGCACCACCGTCTCCGCTGCTTGTTTACAAGGGGCTTTATTTAGTACTCAAGGGAAGATTGTGGTAGAACACAGAATGAACAGGGTGCGAAGAGAAGGTAGGGTGAATCAATGGATCAGAGCAAGAGGTATGGCAGAACCAACGAACCAAAAGCTTTTGCTTTAGATGGTAAACCAATGCCCTTTTTTTGACAAACCGAACGGGGAGGAGAGAGTCGTGTGGAGGGAAAGCAATAGACGAATTAGGCTGGACCCTTTTCTTCCCTTATTTGTACAGCCAGCAGTTGAGGAAAGATGGAACCCTCTGAGACTCTGGCACGACTTTAGACAAGTGGAAATGCGTACAAGGATCGATTCAGCCGGCTCTCTATGATCGACGTGTGTTAAGCTTGATAGAGGTGGAACGCATTCCTTCGATCGCGGGTACGATCTCTAATGGGAAAGCTCCAACGCCGTGTATAAAAAGAGGAAAGGGTCCTTCAAAAATCATCCATTTCAACCATTAACGGAACCAAGCCGAGACCGACCGAATGGGTCCACTTCGAGTCGAGTCTCAGTTCATTCCTCCTTTACAGTGGGAGAAGCGAGATCTACTGTGGTAGGATTTCCTAATCTTTCACCAGTTTACCATTGGGCAATTGAATAGCGCGTTGATGTCGATGCCGGGGCTTTCCATGGCATGTGCTTACACGCCGCTTCGGAAGAGGAGCTAGTTTGAATTCTTCTAAGTTTCGATTTGATTGGTGTTCCGCGTCATTTACCTTTAGGTAATCCCTTCGAAAAGGACCAATTGAAGATGAATAAACCAACCTCAAAGGAGATGAAAACCAGGCTTTATACTCAATAGAAGTTCAATTCGAAATATCGTAAAGAAAGATCGTAACGTACTTAGCGCAAAAGCAATAACTTATTTATCCTTTGAATTACTCCTACTTTTAGGATTTTCAGTATCATGAGACGTAAATTCTCTCCCCGCATGCAACACTTTTTGTTCTCATTAGTAATCATTTTGATCTTAGTGGGACTGTGCTATTTTGTTTGTCTGTTTCTCGGTTCCCTTGACATTTTTCAAACAGACTTTTGGAATACGTTGGGTCGAGCCCTCTTTTTCTCTGGCTTACGCTTAAGGATTGGTCCGGCCTTTTCAGTAGTTATTTTACTAATCCTTTTTTCTCTTTTTGATCCGTTGAGCGACGAGCTCACAAAACATATGCACCCTGCGAGCATAGAGGAGATCCTTGTACCTGTAGGTAGTAGGGAAAGGTCAGCATTCTTACCGATAACCAGTAGTCCCAAGAGTATGTGTCCTCTTGTTGCCTTGTAGCGGTTGGTTCTGCTGATTCTTTGGTTCTTTGGGATCTTTCCTCTCTTTACTGTATTCTTCTAAAGGCTGTAGGCTATCTGCAGGAGTGAAGTCTCTTTCCTTTATTTCCTCTTCTTTCCGGGCTGGTGGTTGTGTTTTAGCCTTCTTACTTCTTCACCTTGGTACGATAGCTTTTAGCTTTTCTGACTGGGCAAGCAGCTGGAACCCTTCTCTTTCTACGAGTTGACAGACTGAGAGAACAAAGTGGACTAAAGGCCAAGAAGAGGAGAGGAAGCGGAAGCTAATAACGCTTACCGCAAAGAATGATTTCTATGAGCAGGGTTGGTTTGGCTATACCGACACCCAGAAAGCAAGCTACGTTAGGGTTGGTTCACTTGCTTTATTTGAACAGGAAAGATAGCCGAAATTAGCTGTTATATTTATCTTCTCGGGAGTCCCTTTCTCTGGGCATCATTCCTTTCTAAGTAGACAAGACGCGGGGAGTGCGGTCTTACCTACTGGGGGGAATTCTGCGGGGGCAGAGTGTGCCATCACCTGTGTGAGCATTTCTTCCTATCGCTAAGTCATGAAAAGTATATTATGTAAAGGACTCCTCCTAAGCTTTGGTCAATCCCTAAGGGAAGAAGACGAGAAAGAAAGGGAAATATCTAACAATTGAAGAGATCCTAACGCACCTAGAAAGAGAGGCATAAAGAAGGGAAGTAGATTGAATATATTCACTAGGATATATTCTATAGGCTGATGAAAGTCCTAAGCCAAGAACCTATTCTCTCCTCCTATACCACTGTGTCCTACTGGTATTACTCATAGATGGAGAAAGGACTACTCCTGGACGGTAAAAAAGCCCTTCTGGTGATCCGGCTCGACTCTTGCATCTAGGAAAAGACTCCTGAACTTGCTTAGCTTCAGTCTATCTTTCTCAAACTAGCCCAAACCTATTATAAGGAACCTAGCAAGAAAGTCATATAGTGCAGTTTCGCTTCCGGACCTCAGAAAGACCGAGTGAGTGGTGCAGGTTCGGGACAAGGGTAGCAATCCATTCTTTCCGGCTAAGAAAGTTCCAAGTTTTGTCTCAAACTGGTAAGCAAGTCAGTCCCCCTATGGAGAAGAGGGGAGAAAAAGACTTCTCTTAATAAATTAGGTTTTGAAATCCAGTCTTTTGGGGGACATTTCGAAGATCGGTCGTTAATATCGTAGGAAAGTGAAAGTCATTTGTTTGAATTAATTAGTTAGTCAGGTCTTCCCGCTCAAGGAGAAAGGTTCGTTGTACTGTTAAAATGCAATTGGAATTCGGATTGCATCGATGCCCTGAAGGAAAGCGAGTTAGGAAGTCGTGTTGCAGCTTTTCCAATCGAATATGAAGCTGGCAAGGGAGCGGGGATTAGCCAGGTCCTGCCATCGGGTTGGGAAAGAATCGAAATCCATTGTAAGTAACGGGATCTTTGACCCCAATATTGAGTTCCGACGAAGGCACCTAGAAAAGTCACGAGGATGGAGCATCTTAGAGGGGTCAAGAACGGAGGTTTGGGTCGACTTTTCGATTCGGGCAAGCGATCTTACCATCCGTACAGGAGACAAACAGAGCCAAAGGAGTCCGTCTGGGTTGGGGAATTTCAGAAAAGATGGGAATTCTTATGATTGGAAGGAGAAAGACCCCGTTGTTTGGTATTCCAGTTCCAAGTTCCTTTTGATTGGATTCCAGCAAGTCAAGAGGGCGAGGGCAGGGGGGTCGGGATCCGGGTTTCTACCGATGGTCTTAGGACAGTAGAAAGGAATTCCTCAACTCAAGTGACTTATGAAATGGCATAGAGAATATGAGAGTTTCCAGATCAATCTTCAATCAAGAGTTGGAATACCCGAGTTGGTTTGGGTCGGAGCCTATACCACTTTCGATCCTTTGTAACAGAAGATGGGGTAGACTATTCGAGTTTGGATTTTGGGACAACAGTTATACGAATTCTTACACAACAAATATGGATCGACGCTGGAGTGAGAGTATTTGAGGGAAAGGGATCTGAAGTTTGTTTACGTTTACCCAGCAGGGTGAGATGACGGTCGGAGGAGAAATCGTCTTTCGATGAAATGGGAAACTCCTTCGGTCTGCCAATTCCTTCTCATGTCGCTGTCCCGTCAGATGAAGAAGTCAAAGAAGAGGCAGTGAAGAAGGAAATGGGTCTACTTATCGGATTTGGAGTTCGGAATTCGTATTGCATCTTTTACAATCAGGTGGGGGAGTTGGGATTACCGAGCGAAGCCTAGAAAGATCGGAAAAGCCTGGCCGTAGGGCAGACTGTTTACAGGGATCCTTCTTTTCCAAATCCCCGAAGCCGGTGGGAGAACCAATCCTAGGAGGCCGGTAAAAAGAAAGGAGTTTGTTGAATTGAAGAGTTGACGTACTTACTGTCAAGCGAGAAAGTACTATTTTCATAAGAAAGGGATCGAGAAAGCCAGATCCTCAAATTCAAGATATTGACCACTGGTGACCAAGAAATGAAATATGGATCGACTTAGAAGGAGAAGCAAGTAGGGGTAGCACGTGGAAGAGTCCCTGAGGGTTGGGAATTGCTTTGATTCTAGAGCTAAGATTTAGACCCCGAGATTGATATCCAGAGAACGAACGTTTGCTCTTCCAATGACGAATCACCCAAGAGGGGTTGAGAACGGAGCTTACCAGCATTTTTAGGTCCATTTACGAAAGCCCGAAAAAAGGGGCTCGGATTCTGTATTCCAACTCTTGATTAGTCTTGAGACCGCTTACAATTCTACCTAGGGGAGATCGAAGGAATGCGCAAGGAAGAGGGAAAGAGGTCACAAGCGGAGGAAACAAGCATGATAGGACAGAAAGCGATCCTGTATTCCCGTCGTCTTACCCTATCGCGTTTGGGAATAATAACTGGAGCGAGGTTTACGAGGAGAAGTAGAAAGACCCTGGGTCTGGAGTATGCTTTCGGAGTTCGCCTGACAGCTCTTTACATCGGGGATTTGCCATCGGTCCTGTCTTCGGGGTGGCCAGTAGAGTCGATCTTAGCTGTCGGGTTGGGAAGTCTGTCTCACCAGGTTTGGAGTTGGGGGCATTCTTTTTAGATTCTAGTATAAGTAAGGAAATGTACAACCAAGCCAACTTCCAGATTCGTGACGGACGATGATTCATAAGCGAGGGATGGCAAACTCGGGGTTTCTGGTAAGATCTATTGGGGTGATTTCCAGCTCAGGTCGGTCAATTTCTCTTTTGTTTTCTCCTTTCTTTTCTTTTTACGTTGGGTTGGGGGCTTTCTCGTTCACTTGCCCATTAATGAGTTCTATTATGAACGCCTTCGATTCGATCAGGCAGGCAAGTCGATGTGGATGGTATGGCTCAAGGGAAAGGGGAAATCGAATAGAAATAGAAATGTCGTCAAGGGGGATCAGCAAGAAGGCAAGGGAGCGGGTATTTACTTTTGTTTGGAAGTGTCAGTCGCTGCGTGAAAGAGTTCAAAACCTTTTAGAAAGGGATCGAGGACCCAAAGAAACCTGAGATTGAAAGCCGGTACTCGTACTTGCTTAAGTAATAGGATTCTTGGTTAAGTCAGAGGATGACCTAAAAGGACAATTAAAAAGTCAAGGTTGAGTTTTCTTACTCCTAGAGAATCTTCCTCACGAGAAAGAACAAGCAAGGAACTCGAAAACAACATTTATACCATTGGTGCCCGCGAAAACAAATATGTATCTACAATGGAGTGAGAATAGAATATCCTTGGGAAAGGGAGATCGGTCCTAGCGGGAGTAGAAAGAGGGATTACGAGTAATGGGATCAGAACAAGCAAGGGATCGCGCAAATGGAATACCCAATGGGGGAAAGGGAGGTACCCGGGGTCCGATACTTAGAGGCAGGCCTTCTTCGGAACATATATATCAATATGGTAAGTAAAGCAAGAGCGGTTACAGAGTCTGAGGTATTCGAGAAGGCGAGCGAGCTGCAATTCCATTGGATTGGATAGGATCTTACGATCTGACCTCAAGAGTTGTGAAATCGGTATCGCCAGGTTTTGAGTTGGTGTTTTTCTAGCACCCTTTTGATTTTGAGTTGGTCTTACCCATCTGCTTCGGTAGTCTCAAGCGAGGGTTCAGAAATCTCCTATTTAATATGGTAATGGAAGATCGGTTCTCTAGTCTCCTATCTTGGTAGTTGAATTCCTCGTTCTTCGAGAAGGAGAAGGCAATGCAGCTGGGAAAGATCTTTTCAATGTTGGAAAGTGACGTACTTGGTTACGTAATAAGCCATAAGTTCGGTATCACTTTCTGTCCTTCCCCATTCTCTGAGGTGGAATCACAAGCAAGGGGTCTCGAAAACGAGTTTTGGATATATTAGATTTTGGGTTGGATTTCTCAGATCGCAAAAAAGCAAATCGATTCTGTGCTTGTAAGTTTTGCCATTTGAGTCAGAAAAGACAAGGGAGGAGTCCTTTTCGGAATTACTTACCATTCCTCGGTTCGGAAGGGGAAAGCTATGAGTCGATACCTCGGGTCGTGAACAAGCCAGAAAGCGATCGCTTTTTCCTGTCCTTCGATCGATGAGCTAAGACGGAAAGGGCTCATAAGAATAAGAGGTACCAAGCTAAGCTAGAAAGTGGGGAAATCTAGAAATCTCAATATGGTATTGGAACTGCCAATCGGTTCTCATTCCTTTGGTCGGAAACAGGCAAGCCTGCAGGTCTTCCCTTAGGTCGAGGTCTTGTCAGAGCCTTGTACAGTTCATAAGGAATCTTTCTAGCATCTTTTCCTTGAAGGCTTTGGAGCTCGGATTCCATGTCCGGCCGGTAAATCTCAATCTCAATATGGTAAGTAAGCGGGTTGATGAGTCGAAAGCGAGGGGTCGGTTCTTTCCAGTTGGGTTGGGAAACGCGGGTTCAGGAGTGGAAGGAAGAGGGCTCCAGTCGTTCCGGCTGTTCTTCCCTTGGTCTGGCTCATCAGGTTCAGAAATCTGAAATGAAATAGGGTAATGGAGGATCCGGTTTCAGAGTACAGATCCCAGAGAGAAGGTCTGCTAGTTCGGTCTTCGCGAAGGATGGGAAATCTCATATGAATGTCCTACAGTTACGTACTTGGATTCAGCAAGATAAGATGGAAAGGCAAGGGAGTTGGGTTTAGCAGTAGAAATACCTGGGGTTTGAAGTGTATAGAAAGTTCCAAGGAAGGCACCTTGCCAATCTGTTAGGTAGAATCACAAGCAGAGAACGTCGGTTTTGTATATATTACTTACTTCGAGTGGTCGGATTCAAGGAGAAGAGGAAGACCTTGAAAGCCAAGAGCTAAGGGAAAGGAGTTCAGAGGTCGTCGATCTGGATTCGCCGGTTTCGCAATAAGAAATGGAGCTGGGGATCTTCCCGTGGATCTGACATAGCTAGGCCCTCAAGTCGGGAAACTTGGTGAAAGTATTGCGTAGTCTAGATGGGAGTTAGGCGGTCTTCGAGAAGCCTTTGTTGGAGTTGATCTTCCCCTGGGTCTTTCTCTCTGGTTCGGAACATCGAAATCAGGTAAAGCAGGTTTGGAGTAGGATTTTGAGTAGCACTCCGCTTTCTAGTGTAAGTACAACCAAGACAACAGGCCTCACGATCATTCATAAGCATAAGCGAGGGGTCGAGTTCGGATACTGGAAAGTGGAAAGCCTGCACCGATTCCCTTGGATCTTCGAATATGGTTCGGAAGAAAGAAGGATATGGTAGAGTAGAGCCGGGGGCGGAAACAGGCAAGCCGTCTTCACCATCCTGTCTTGGGAGTATAGGGAAGGGGATCCTGGTCTTAGCAGTCGGGAAAGAACCTCATATGTAAAGGTAAAGAAAGACGAGCTAAGGAGTCTCAAGCTGGGGATCCTGTTTTCCTGTAGTTCTGTCTCAGCCGGTATGGTTTTGGAATTAGGAACTCGGAAAGGGAGTCGAAGTACCTGAGGTGAGGGGATCGGGAATTACCTTGGTTTCGGAAACCAGCCAGCAGCAAGTCCAAGTCAAGAGCAAGCGGGTTTTACCATCGGTCCTGGATCTTAGCAATAAAGTCAGTCAGTCAGGATGGTCAAATGCCCGGAATAAAATAGAAATATGGTATAGAAATAGACAGATTAGGCCAGTGGAATTTCCCTAACGATCAATCACAAGCAAGCGGTATGAAACGTGCGTTTTTGAGTCCAGGATTTCATTTCAGAGGTAGATTTCCAGCTCAGATATTTCTTCTCGCAACAAACCAAAGGATCTGGTTTTCCACTTCCACGGGTTTAGAGTTGGGTTCGGAAATCGGATTCAGAAAGACCGAGGCTACACAGGCTTCGGGTTACACTCCAGCTAGTACATTTCTAGGACTGCTAATAGATTTCTAGGATCAAAACGCGCTACACCACTCGGATAGTGGTACACGGATTACTAACACTAGATCGATAAAGAAAACATTTGCTAGAGCGACCTCTACTCCTATAGAGAGGGAATTTCAAATAGATTCTGTTTTAGAAAAGAAAGGAGAAATTACAGATTTAGATCGATAAAGAGCTTGGAACTCGGGTTTAGACCGATGTTTTTCCTACAGTAAAAGCAAATATAGAGTTTCTTAGAAATCAGTGGCTGGTGAAAGATCCAGACTTGAAAGTCCAGTACCATAATAGACCAGAAAAGGGGCTCATGGTTTTGATATATCACATTTCGTATTAGTGCTTTCCTGCATTGCCCAAATAAAGGAGATAAGCCCCAGCTCATAAGTTTAATATTAAGTAGTGAATCCACCCACATAGAAGCCTTCGAGCAGATCCCAAGCTGAAAAGCGGGGCCAACTGGGCGTTAGGCTGACGAGCGCTAGCTGGTTTTTAAAAACTTGGCGTGAGATAGGCTTCCGCGTCATGATCAGATTAGGATCGCGAAGAACATGTCTCTGGTAGTCCCATAGCCGCCACTGGAATCTCCGAAAGGGGGTTCTCGTCGAGCTCCTGTTAGCGTGATCATAGCATTCCTTTCCTTAGCTGCTACCGTTCGTGAGTTCTTTTCGTATTTGCTCTCCTTGAACGGCGCTGTCACACCGGAAGAACAATGGATGGGTCTTCCCGTCTTGTCTCTCCTCTGGAAAGGTTGGAATGCTAAAGCCATTGGTTCTGTCTCTTTAGGACGAATACTAGCGGCGCGAGAATTTCTATTTTTTTTGATGGTTTCGTTTGACGAATACCTTTTTCTTATCGAAATTATTCAGTAGAGTCGAATGAAGATACGATTGCTTTAGTGAATGTTCTTTTGAGGCAAGCTCGATCCCCTTTTTCTTTCTTGTCAGCAGTAAACATCTCCTCTACCCTTCAACTTTCGCGTAAAACGAAACCAACCGCTCCATACAAAGCACAAAAAGGTAGGTCTTGCAGAGCCTGTCTTCGTACTCTTTAACTCTATTCATTACTTGTTGTGTTGTTGAGGAGGGGTTGACAGCAGAGATCTTGCTACGGGATGGAGCTGAAGGCGAACGAGGAGATTATCGAGCGAAGTGATCTTTCGTCTAGCCTGCTCAACTTGATGGTGAGAAGTTGTTAGGCTGCATTTTAGCCTCTGTACAGGAGATGGGAACTGCATTCCAGCTTGTCTCTAACACACGCTCCTACCCTGAACTGATTTGCTGGTTTCGACCTTTGAGTGGAGTGGTTAAAAAAAAGACTGATGGTGCCACTAAAGGGAATCCCGGAGTGGCGGGAGCATGTGGTTTAATTCGATGCAAAGCGAAGAACCTGACTTTTTTTCCGCGAATCTTCTTTATTTCTATGACTTCACTTCGCTTCGCTTCGTTTGTTCCGTTCATTTTTTGAATCTCTATTCTCTTTTGGCTTCTTTGTTTGGTTGTTTACGGTACCCTTCTTGCTGGTCTCTTTCCTTGGATTCAAGGAGTGGGTTAATCGATTTTTATTACTTCCCTGTGAACATTCATTATCATATATGATATTTAACCATCATCACAACGAAAATACTTCTTATGCCCATCAGCCCATACACGTTAGGCTGTCTTCGCGACACCGACCTACCTAAAGCGAAGTCTTATTTCACTGGCTCCTACTAGCAACAATCGGCAAGAGGTTCCTTCGTAGAAACTTGAACAAACAAAGTAGCATCAGACATGAAACTAAACAGCGCTCAACATTATATCAACCAAGAGGCTGTCTCTTCTTAAAGCAGTCATGTCTCATGTTCAAGATCTACCGGGCTTTTACCACGGATTCCGCAAGAGTGGAGAAAGCTGTCTTTGAATATTATATATTCTTATACATTAGCGGTGAACATGTTTTATTATATATTATTCGCGTTACTTTCTGATAAAAAGCTAGAAAGCCAGGTGGAATAGTTGTCTTTTCGACAGCCGCGTATGCGGGCTTATTTCCTTTATTCTTTCCATGGACTTGGGAAGATCAGATGGTTTGCCATTTGCCTTGAAGTTCCCAACATCGATCCACGTTATGATTTGGCTTCCCACAATGAGAGCAAACGAGCCGGCCCCCCTTCAACATTCTCATCTAATCTCATAAAGTCCGGCTGCTAAGAACAGCGAACTTGATCTAGGTGCATTGGAAGAGAAGGAAACTTGACTAGCTACTTCGTCTCCTCTCCTTTCCTTCACTTCGCTTCTCAATTACTACTTATGACTTCACTTCGCTTCTCAAGTTGGGGCTTTTCTTCATCTCGCCCATGTAGCAAATGGTGAACAACGAGCACCAAGCTCTTTTGCCTATGCGCTTACGAGGACTCCTTCACTTAATGACATTCCTTCCAGATCCAGTTTTGTATATTCTGATCGGGTAATTGCATATTCTTCTTTTTACTGGTTTCGGAACAAGTCAAGTCTTCAAACCAGATGCCTTCTGCAGCCGGGTGTTCTACCAAAGTCTCAGGCGACACATACGCTCAACGGCTTTCTGGAAGTGAGGGGGATGGCGCATACTCAAACGAAGGGCTTTCCCACACTGATTTACCAACCTCTGGGGCTTACATCCCTTCCTCCCGACCTGCTGTCTTCTGACTCTTCCCCGGCAATGGCTACGAAATCAAGGGATTGGAGCTCTTCAGCTTCCCTTCTCGATGGTTACGAGTGTGAAATCATTGGTTCTACTCGGCCTAAGGCATTCTTCCACTTCGGCAGATACCCATTCTCAAGTAAGATCTAAGGCGTTCTAGCCGTCTTTTCTGTTCGAATAATTCGTCTTTTTCAGTCTCCCGGAGGGGCACCCTTCATTGAGAGGCTAGGAAACTCTGTTTTAATCCCTCTTTCCCTTTAGGGCTAACCCATGTAGGGGAGTAGCAGAGTTCTGCAATCTTACGAAAAAGAAAAAAGGCTCGATGTAATTGACCTAACGAACGAAGCGAAGCGAAGCTTTTATGACTTCACTGCGCTTCGCTTCGTTTGTTTGGTCGAATAAGTCACTTTCTTCTTTACAGCCGAACGTAAAATTACTGGGAATAGCTCGAGACTTCTATGACTTCACTTCGCTTCGCTTCGTTTGTATGGTAGGCATAAAAGGATTTCACGTGCGTAAGGCGCGAAGCCCTTTGATCTTTTCCTTAAGATGCCTGATTACCGCTAGCTGGGTGACTCGGAAGCTTGGAAGTGCCTTCCAGGTTGGTTCGAACGTAAGCCCTTGGTGAAGAGGGATATACATCCTAGTAGAGGCACATAGCGAGCGATCAGTCGGTCCTCGTGGACTGTGTCGACGAAGGCTGCCATGCGACCGATATCAAGGGGATGACATTGATTCAAGATCAGCTTTACTTAATCTCTTGGGAAGCAAAATCATTCTCGACAAGGAGAAGAAGGAAAAAGACATCTGAACCAAAGAATCACTAGTCTCATCTTTCTTATACATCCGAATACGATGAAAGCGAGGAGAGCGAAGTGAGGGACGAGGTACGAGGGCTCGACCATAGGGTAAAAGGAAAGGATCGATGTAATTGAGTTGAGTCGACCAAAGGTCAATGTAATCTTTAGAAGCGAAGTGAAGTCATAAAGGAAAGTTCCAATTAAAATGCTTAGGACTAGAAAGAAAAGAAATATGATCCTATAAAAAAAGGAACTATTCATCATAGATCGGAGAGCTCATTTGATATATCACGAATGCAGTGATCAAGCATCAGGCGGAATGTATTGCTACCTCTTCCTCCCTCCACCATTCTATAAGCAAATGCTTGCGGGTAGGATTTCTTGGAAGAACCATCTTTCTTATGCAATTCGAGGCTGGATGGAATGAAGCTGCACAATTATTGGTAGAGTTATCAAAGAACTCCCTCGCTTGGCACAACAGCAAAGAGAACTACAATTCCAACTGGATCCAATGAGAAGAGAATTCGAACACAAACCCCTATGTAATTGGCTTTCCCGTCTTTTCCCTTGCCCTTGATAACTCTTCTGACAAGGAGTCGACTCATATTCTTTGCTTCACTTCGCTTCGTTCGTTGGGTCAATGTAATTGAGGTTCTATGGCATCATGAGAAGAAGACGGGAATGGATCACTTTCTCTAATCGGCATAGGATTGGACAGTGGAGAAAGAGTCCAGCCCTTCCTTCAGAGTACGGGCAATCTGGAATGAAAGAGAAGCCCCTAGGATTCCTGGTAGCATAGTATGGTCTTTTCCTTCCTAGCTGCCCGGATCTGATGCACGTCGAAAAGAAGCCCTTTATACGTATACGCCTTCGGATTCACTTGCTATTAGCTGGGCAACACTTTCTTGCCTTAGGGTGCACCCTAACTTCTATTCACATTCATGAACTACTTCTATACTATCTTATTGATGCAGATACTATATTCACTTACCGCTTAACAGCTCAACTCCCGGACTATTATAATTAGAATCCCTTTTTTTCATATAAGATTTTCTTTTACCAGAATCCGTATATCACTGTAGTGAACCAGTAGATACATCGACGCATTCAAAACACTTTCCTATGCAAAGGCTCATTCCAGAGAAAGGGATCGAAGTGCGTTCGCCGATTCAAGTATAGATTCTTTTCTTTCTATATGATAATATGAATAGAAGCTTTGAACTAATGTGAATAGGAAGATCTTAAGAGTGAATTAGGAGTCTCGGTTCTTTGAATCTATTCATCCGGAATCATATTCATAATCATTCTCGTAAGAGAAGATCTTATCACCATCGTGGTGCTCCATGCGTACCGGTGAACTTGGAGGAAACCCGGTAGGGATGGAGGGACCACATGGATCGCCAGCAACAACGTGGACCACCGGTACGAGAGGGACGCTAGGGACGCCCCCCTGACTCAGCCAGGGAAAGAGGCACACCCACGGTAACTTGCCGCACTCACCTTGTAGAGTAGCTCGCCCTCGGATCGCTTCGAGAGATCCAAGCCAGCCGGGCATCGAAGGGCGGAGTCGGACAGTATGGTCTCTGTGTCTCTCATGTTGAGTTGAGAAAATGCTAATCTCTTCGACTCAATTTCACCTTTCCTCTCCAAAACTCTATGACTGAACTTCGTTCGTTCCCTCGTACCTCGTCCCTCCACTCCTTAAAACTAGCTCTGGAAACTGGGATTTCAATGTCTTTGTTTTTCCATCATTTTAGCTACGACCTTTCGGAGAGAACTATGCAGAAGATCCTTCTGAAGTTCCAAATCAGTCCTCCTATGGGTGAATTGGACCAAGGGAAGTCGAACTTGCCGATCCTTTGTCCGGGAGCCTATGCTAGGATGTAATAGAAAGACCAATTATACTATACGTTCCGATACCAGAGAATCTTATCCTCCCAGCAGCCGTTCCATAGCTTTCAACAGCCTACTTAATTAAAATGTTGACGAAAGCCACAGAAAGGAGATCTGTATTCGCCGGTTCAGATTGCTAAGATCTCAAGCAAGACGCTGAGAGTTCTGGCTTTTCACCTTAGCCTTACTTAGTAGTCCTATGTCGGGTACCTAGCAGAATTATTAACCAGGAATTCATTAAGGTTAAGTATGCCGTTCGGTCCTTTAGCCGTGCGTATTGTTCTCGTTCTACTTCATGTAAGTGGCCTAATTGATCCGCCCTGTGGGCATCCATTGTCCGAGCTCTCGCTACATCCATCTCTTCAGTCTCAATTTGTTCATTCAGCTGCTCTCTCCTCTCCACTTCACTTCGCTTCGCCAATACTTCTGACTTCACTTCGCTTCGCTTCGTTTGTTCCATTTTCAGTTTGAAGTTTGCTCATATATCAGCTGAAAGATATAACAGCCATTTCATAGCAAGAATTTCTGGGCTATGATCCGATATCCCTACAGTCGTCTCAAACGTTGCATAAGAATCTGGAAACTTTCTGTCTTTCTTACCCGCCTTCCCCCTAATCCTGTTATCCGATGCAACCAAAAGTCATTCTAAATAACCGGCTTTCTTTCGCGCTAGTTGCTCAATCCCTTGCACCAGCTCAATTACACCAGGACTTCACTGCGCTTCGTCAATTACATCGAACCTTCTAAATTACATCTATCCTCCTAATCTCCGCATTCAAAACAACTATTATCTTCGCAATGAAGAACTTTCAAAGTGTACAAACTTTTCGAAGCGAAGTGAAGTCAAAAATAAGGGCTATAAGTAGGCCGTTTGCTATTGCGGGCTGCTCACCTTTATACGGTTTGGCTTCGCTATNGTGGTCGACCTAAAAAGTGGTATTCCTGCCATACCAGAATGCCTATTATCTAGTGCGTTAAGCTTCGCCAGAAGCAAGCTTCATGAGGGTGCTCTGCTTCGTAGACAAGGCTCGTGTAGTACTCGCCCCTATCTCGTCAGGGGCTTATGCACTCCACTCGCTGTCTACTAAACGAGCGTTGGGGCGAGCGAGCGAAGCCTTCAATTTAATGGCTTCCCAACTTTAGAAGCGAAGTGAAGTCATAGAGTCCTTTCGCGTCGAGCCTCAATTACACCTTTCCTCTCCTTTCAGTCGAGTCTCGCTTTGCTCTCCTCTCACCCTACTCTTTTCTTTTCGCTTAAGCTCCCCCGGTTTGGGGGATTAATTGATTGGATACCCGAGAACCATAATCTTTCCTAGGAACAGCTTCTACGACGATAGATAGGGGTCAGGTTTGTTTGGCATCTATGCCCCCTGCCCTCCAAACAGTATGGGAGCCTTTCAGCTCGTACTGCTCACACACCTAGATCTTCACGGCACCTCCTCGTATATAGTGTAAGCTGGGATTTTCTAAACACAAGAAAATTCGCTTTCAACAACGTCAACAAGACCACGAAAAAAGTCCACTATGGTTGCCCA